TGGGCGCCTACATACGAATTGGGAAATGGAACAATGGGGTAAGGTGCTCTTCACTGACGAGTCCCGATTTTGTCTCCGGTCACCTGATGGTCGAGAACGAGTGTGGAGACGTCGTAATGAAAGGTTTGCGACCTGCACAATTTCGGAAAGAGTACCTTTCCATGGAGGTTCGGTCATGGTATGGGCGGTATTCCGACGGAAGCGCATACAGCGCTCATCTTTGTTGAAAATGGCACGCTAAATGCCAACCGTTATAGCCAAGATATTCTGCAAGAAGCTGTCGTGCCCTATTCCCATTTTATTGGTGACGGATTCATGCTAATGCATGATAATGCGCGACTGCACGTAGCACGTGTGGTTAGCGAATATCTTGATGAGGTGGGTATTGAACGGATGGAGTGGCCAGCGTGCAGCCCGGACCTTAACCCTATCGAACATCTTTGGGACCAACTTCAGGGACGCATTCGTCGTCGTCCTGTCCTACCGGACAACCTTCAGGAGTTACGAATTGCTCTTGAAGAAGAGTTTACCGCAATTCCTTAGGAATCAATTACGAACCTAATCAGTTCGATGCCGCGTCGACTACATGACGTTATTTTGGCTCGTGGGGGGCACGCACGCTATTAATTTTCGTGTTATTATTAATTATTACATTAAATTAAATTTGTTTTCTTGTTTATTTGTCTTTGTTTTTACCGCATATTAGAACTGAGAACAGATGTTTACAATAATGAAGGACGTACGCAATTCTGTAATTCTAAGAAAATGTAAGTGCTTCTGCAAAACTGTTTCGGGTACCAGTTTTAGTTTTCAAGGTCAGTGATTTAAGGCCACTTTTAACAATGATTAAAAATCTGTATAGGCTTCTTTGGAAATTCCCGGCCACACCATCAAAGAACCATAATCGAATCTTTCGCGTTTCATAATTGTATGGTCCACAAATCTTTCATTTCTACGTCTTCATATTCGCTCCTGACTATCGGGTGATAGTAAACAAAACTACTACTCATCCGTAAAAAGGATCTCCATTGCACTATTCATTCCTCCATTGCTCTATCTCCCAATTCACATGTAAGCGCGCAGATTGAAGACGCGCGCGTCGATATGTAGGAAGCAGCCTCGGCCCTTTGGCAGCCTTCTTGCAGCCAGACCAGTTCTAGCAAGTTTTCAGCGAACGGTTCTCTCACTGACATCAACAACACGCACCATTTGAAGACGATGCTGAGCCTCTACAGCTGTCGTTCTACGATTGCTTAGAACAATAAAACGGTCATCAGCTACTATTGTCACTCATCTTGTTTTCACAGGCGATCGCTTTAAAATACTGTATCTTCGTTAGTAACAGATATAATGGAGTGAATAAAAAAAGAAAATGCTCAGAAAAGATTGGGCTACTGTTTGATTCCAGGTAATACCCTCTGCTGTAGCAGCTGCACCCCACAGGGTGTTACAAATTTCGAGAATAAAAGTTTTTCTCATTTTTCTCACCCCGTATATGCTCAAATTAAAATCTGAACGAAAATTTCTATCGCAGGATTATTACAGAAGAATCAACCTTTCCATCAAAAAAAGAATCATCAAAATCGAATGCGCGGTTCGCGAGAAAGCCAGCTTTGAACTTGTGGCAAATTTATAGTGGCCGGTTTTTTTTGCCGGTCAGTTTATGTAATCGCTGCAGATAACGCCTTCTAGCTCATTTGTTTTAAAGCAAACGGTCTTACTGAAAATATCTTTAAAAAGAGCATAAAATGCAGAGATTAAAAGTGCCCGAATTAGATGGTTGAGCCATCTGGAGCGCCAAAGACCAGGAGGGCCGTCGACTGCAGGGTCGACCCCTAAACAATATAAAGATGACGTTGAAGGATTTTANGTGATAGTAGACAAAACCACTACTCATCCGTAAAAAGGACCTTCATTGCACTACTCATTCCTCCATTGCTCGATCTCCCAATTCATATGTAAGCGCGCAGTGTAATCTAGATGGAGAAGAACACCACCGCCACCAATGTAATATTAGAGGAAAAAAGGGGCACCCGCCACCAACGTTATGCGGACGGGAAAAGATAGAAGTACGGTAGCGTGTACTTGCAGAAAAAGAGAAAAAATTATAGAAGGTTTTTAGGATGCTGCCACCAGGTAAGTTACGTACTTGGCCGAACGGTTTAAGAAGTTAATGAGTAAAAGGAGGGAGGATCGTAGCCCTTGTGTTGAAATTGAAATAATACGAACAAGAATTTATATAAAAAAAATATTAATATATTAAATTAAGGAAATTAAAATATATAAAAAAAAATAGAAAAATANACAATAATTGCATTTCAAAGCTGCATAAAATACGCGCGAAACACTTCAAACTCTTTAAAATTTACGATTCGCGCAAGCGCCTTCGCGACATGGGGGCACGACAAAGACAAAACATATATCATTCCGTCTGCTTTTGATGGAAACGCTCGCCACTCATTGCTTAGATAGGGAGTCAGCGATATAGGAGATAGTATATATATGGAATGCATATTTATCGATTGTAATCATGGAATGATCTCAAGAAAAATGCCTATTAATGATAGAAGCCTACCGAAATAGCAGATATCTGTGGGATCCGACCTTTGAACATTATAAAAATACAACTCGCAAACAAGATGCTTGGCAAGAAATTGCAAACATACTAGAATGTAATGCTGAAGAAGCAAAAAAAAAAGATGGACTCACTTCTCGCATCTTACCGCCGTAAAAGGCAAAAAACAATGACTACGAACCAAAATCAAGCAGCGGTGCCGACTGCACTTATAATTCAAAATGGTTTGGGAAATTCCACTTCTCATTAAATTCCTGAGCAATTGATAGCTCAGTTCTGTTGACGGTGTTTGAAATGAATAAAAACTTAATATAAGGTGTATATCAATTAAACTGTTCTTTTAGGCTGATGAGCAGGAGAATGAGCGAAATGAACAATTAGGAACTGCGGTAGTGGGCCCTAATGGAGAAACACAGTCAGACTCAACAACATATCCGCAACCTGTAGCTTCAGTAGAATCAAGCAACACGATAACACAATCGCAACCTTCAACCCTGGGATCTAGCCACACGACAATACCACCAAAAAAAAACTAAACGTGAAGATCCTCGAGCAGACGAAGCCTACCGTATTTTAAAAGATACATAAAGGATAAAAGTCAAGCTTTTGGAAATCATGTAGCTTCAAAACATCGTGAGTATTCGTAACGGACGAAAGCATTTGTTGAACATTATATAAGTAATATGCTGTTCGACGCTGATTTGGGGAAATTTGAATTTGAGTCAAGTTTAGCATCAACTCCGATGTCTTCATATTCAGACAGTTCACAAAATACACTACAGCATTCTGTAATCACAGATCAACCACCACCCAACCAGATAACAGTATTGGAAAACAGTTCACAAAATACTGTAAAGACAGGCCAACAATTACACATTCCGGATGATAACGAAACTGAAGAAACTAGAGGAGCTTTAGTGTACTATCTTAACAGTTTTAAGTAACTTTTTCATTTTTAATTTTTTTTGTGTTTAAAAAAATAGTGAGTATAATTTTGTTTACTTACCTTAGAGTAGTCATGCAATGCTTCATTTATCGCAGCACATACTTCATATATAGCATTACAGATTGTGGATTTAGATATTTTAAAAAAATACATCAGGCTTTCATTGGAATCTCCAGTCGCCAAAAATCTTAAAGTCAGCACTAGCCTGTCATATGCAGGAATCGAGTCTCTAAAATTCGTATTTGATTTCCGAATTTTGTCGCTGATCAGAGATAATACATGGTCAAAATCCTCTGACGCCATTCTACAAACATTTTGGAATTCTTCTTGTTCTCGCATATCGGTCATCGTTTCACCTACATTATCCAGTATCCTTCGGTGCATTAAATTTGTCACCCACCAACGTCTCTTCCTTCTTTTCTTTTTGAGTGTTTGAGACAAAATAATAAATGCAGCACTTGCAATTACAATATTGCTGTCAGAGTCGGACATAACGAAGCACCCAACCACAGAATTGACACGAATGAGCAATGAGCATTCGTTCGACTGATCTAAACATCTATGTGCAATTCTAATTCTTGATTCTCATTTTTGCTCATTGATCTTTTGGTGTAAACGCTAAAAACGCGCTTTCATTTACACTAAAAGATCAAGAAAGAATGCTCTTGTTGTAGCTCTTTGATCGTTTGGTTTAAATGCACCTTTACGTGAGACACCTGTATACTGTTAGCATAGTTGATGACGTCACATAATGTCAAATAATAATAATAAAAAAGAACATAAAAAAAGAATAATAATAAAAATGGATTTCCTGGAATGGGGAATTAATTTTATGTTTGTGTTTAAGATTTTTTTTGATAGCATTAGTATATTAAAACAATCCTATAAAATTCAAGATTTTGTACAATCATAATTACACCAAATTTTAGTAAATTCTTTAACTCTTTCACTTTGCTCATTAAATCCTTGTTTTTTAGGTTTCCTCCATTTAGCATGGTCCAAATCCAACATCCCCCCAATAATTTCTTGCGCAAAATTCTTAGGAAAATATTTTTCTTCTTCAATAACATGAGCGTACCCTTCGTTCATTCCAAAACTTACACAAAAATACGGTAACCCCTTGGGAATAGCCCTTCGAACGTCTCGATTAGCCAAAGACACCAATTTTTTATTAACGGACCATTCCGTTTCGGATTCATCGATAGCTTTTTTAAAATAAATCGGTGCTAAATCGCCTTGTTCTTTTGGAACGGGGACGCATTCAAAAATCATATGCGGAAATTTATGTAAAAAAACGGCGGTTTCAAAAAATATTACGTCTTCATCTGACTCAAGAAACATTTTTGTGAGTGATTTTCGAAAATCTAATAATTCACTCCATTCATTTTCGTCTAGTTGAGTTGAACATGGAACGTGGCGTATTGGGATTATAAAGCAATGACCTTTTGTTATTGGCTGGAAAGGTGGTAACATCAAAAACATGGTTTCGCCCATTGATATCATGAGATGTTTTGGCATATTATCTGATTGGATACACCATAAACAATTTTCTAAAGTTTTTGATGTCATTTGATGCTGTTGAATTGCTTTATCAATGGTTTTTTTATCGGAAAGATTATCTTTTTGACGTATTTTATCTTCAAATATTTCATCCATGTCTTGATTTTTTATTTTCGAAGCCATATTAATAAATTCTTTGTTTTGATCTTGAACTGTACTATATTTTTCATTTTCAAACATTTGTTGTAGTGAATATTTATCATCATCTGGAAAATATTTAATACGTTCGCCATCTTTATGGGTTTCAACTCGTTGTTTTTTCTTTCTTTGGGTTCCTGAAGATTCTCCATATTCACTTTTTAGTTTTATTGGTCTTGAGTAACCCTGATTATCGGTTGTTGTTAATAAAACGTTTTCTTCTTTTGTGATTGTTGTAGTTTTTAAAGATCGAGCATTTTCAAGTTTTAATTTTAATTCTTTAACCAATTCTTCATTACCCATTATTTCAGCTTTAACTAATTTTGCTGCTATTGCATTTAATTCTTTATCTGTAATTCCAATTTTTTCTTCATTATCTTCACTAGTAAAGATGTTTTTAGCTTCATCCTTATGTTTCTCAACCAATTCTTTTTTCCTCCATCCTGACGATCCTGTATATTTACTTTTATACTCAAAATCATGTTCGCTTGGTTTTTTGAAAGTGGGTAACCCATCTCCTCCATCTTTCCAATAAGGATTTAACTCCCTAACATTGCTTTTTGGGTCATAAACATCCTTTTCTCGTTCTTCTCGCTTTCTTTTTTCTCTATCCTCTTTCCTGTCTGAATTAGAAGTTGTTAAAAAACTTGATGACATCGACATCCAATCATCTCTTTTTGAAATTTCTTCTTCCCCGGATGCTTTATTTTGGGACTTTTCAACCCATTCATTCTCCGACGAACTAGAACTTGAAGAGTACCTCTTTTTCTTAGCTTTTTTTTCACGTTTATTTTTTTTCGATTTTTTCTCCTTATGTTTCCCCTAAATTAAACACTAATTATTATTTTAACGTATTTATTAAAAATAGCATACCATTTCAGGTTATTTTTTTAGATTATGGTGGTGATGGTTGTCTATCTGGTCAGGTCTTGGAGTTCGAACATTTGTCCATATCATACTGCAGTCACCAGTTTTCTTTTATTCTCTTATGTAGATTGTGGGTAGATCTGTTATATATATATAGTTAAGTTAGTTATTTTTAGTTTTAAGAGTTTAGGTTGGCAATAGAAACACGTTAGATGTTAGAGAATGACATGTTAGAACTTGTAAGAAGCCAAGCTGTTTTATCTAATAAAAAATACATTTTTTAATATCAACCCTTTGCACTCTTATGCCGCCGTATAGTCGCCACAATACGTTTAACCTTTGCACTCGTATGTCGCCGTATAGGCGGCACACCATGTTAAACGCGCCTGAAAATGATAGATTGGATAGTGATAATATTAGTGAAGAAAGTGACTTTAGTAGTGGTAGTGATATTATAGTTACTAAAAGACAGAGAACCATACCTTTACCATCAAGTTCAAGCAGCAGTGAAGAAGACGAGAATATAACACAACCTGGTAATGTTGGTCCATGGCAGGACGTCGCATGCCACGATCAGGTACCAGACAGGATTCTATTTACTTCTGGGGATAAAATGGTAGGACCACAAATTCCAGATACTTGTACAAAACCCATAGATTTTTTCAAGCACTTTTTTACCGATGAGCTAATAATAAAAATAGTGGAACAAACAAATAACTACGCTAGACATAAAATAGCACAGAAGAGGTTGTCAAAACGTTCTACAAGGCACACGTGGGTAGATACTACAGTAGAAGAGTTTACCGCATTTATTGGGGTTGTCCTAAATATAGGTCCGATAACCGTATCTAATATCCAAGAGTATTGGTCACAACAGTTTAATGCCAAAATACCTTTTTTTTGTTTAGCATATTTAGAAGAGAACGATTTTTACAAATTTTTGGGATGCTCCACTTGCATGAAAACGATCCAAATGACCAAACTCTTAGGGCTCGAACTCAGAAGTCAGTTACTATTTAGATTATTTGGACAAACAATTCAAAGAACATTTTTGTTCCATCAAGAGAGATATCGGTAAACGAATCTGTTGTTGGATTTATTTATTTTGAGACAATTAACGCACAATAATGTGGATTTTAAATGGTCTGATCAGGAACAATTAGAGTTTGATAAAATTAAAGATATTGCTTCAAATATTCAACTTTTAAAATATTATAAAAGATCCATTATATTAGAGGTATAATATATGTTGAAATGAAATAAGTAATAATAAGTAGGCCTCTTGACCTCTAAAGTTTTTTATTAATTAAGTTTATGTACTTAGTACTAGTTTCGACATATTATGATGTCATCATCAGCCAAATCTACAAAAGGATATAATAAGGATATAATAACTATAATGATCTTAAAAAATATATAAAAACAATAAAACTGCATAAATGTATCTCAACTTACAGTCAAATAGTTAAAAAAATCACGCTGAACAAACAAATTTCTACGTTAAAATAAAACATTATTTAAAAGAAACACGAAAATAACTATTCTAAACCAGGAAAACACAACACCGTACACAATTGAACTCCAAAAACGACTGTTAAATCAACATCGAACTAAATTTAAAACCGGTTACAAAAAGGAATAACAATATCACAGTAAAATAATTTTAAAATGAAATTATGTTTTCAAAAAGGCGTGGTTTATAAAGTGGTTTATAATAGTTTTCGAGTTGATCATTTAAAGTAAGATAGTTATTATTGTATGATAATGTTCAATATCATGTCAGAACTTTGAAAGGTCCTTCGTGTCGCGAAGATAACAACGGTTTCAAAATCTTCAATTCTAATGAAAACGAAATTTGATTTGTGCAAGTCTTTATGAATAAAAGGTTTTTGAATAGAGTGAAAAGACGTATTTACTGGTTTTAATTTTGAAAAAGTGTCTCTTAAACTGGAGAGGAAAGGCTCATAGTCAATAGATGGATTAGTAGGTATGAAGAACTCTCCAGGAAGTCTTAGTGGTTGCCCGTAAAGCAGTTCTGCTGAGGAGCAACCTAGATCTTCCTTAAGTGATGTTCTTAATCCTAGTAGGATGAGGGGTAGATTATTGTCCCATCCAGTAGAGTCTCCTTTAGCGATGATAGCCGTCTTCAATGATCGATGAAATCGTTCTAACATTCCATTTGCTTGGGGATGGAAAGATGATGTATGTATTTGTCGTGTGCCAAGTAATGTGTTAAATTTTGAAAAGAGGTTTGATTCGAATTGCCGTCCCTGATCATGTGTTATTGTGGTAGGTATACCAAATCGACTAAAATAATGCCGGAAGAGTGTGTTTGCTATAGTAGAAGATGTGATATCTTTCAGCGGAAAAGCTTCTGGCCATGGAGTGAAGCGCTCGATAACTGTAAGTACATAAGTACAACCTAGGGACGGAGTGAGTGGTCCAATCAAGTCGATATGTATATGATCAAATCTAATTTTAGGAATTTTGATGTTGATGATTGACGATTTTGTATGTTTTTGAATTTTTGCTTGTTGACATTTTAAGCAGGTTTTGGTCCAAACATGAATTTGCTTTGACATGTGTGGCCAAAAGAATCTTGTTTTGATTGCATGAATGGTGGAACGTATTCCGGGATGAGATAAGCTATGAATTTTGTCAAAAATTGCTTGTCTGAACTGTTGCGAAATATAAATTCTTGCAGATGATGAAGAGGTTTCACACCACAGTTTGATATCGGATTGTGATGGTGTTTGGTGTGTTAAACGATAAGATTTTGAAGGATTATTGGAAAATTGCTTATTTAGTAAGTTTTCCAATTCTGTGTCAGCAAGTTGAGCGTTGCTAAGGGCTAGAAAATCTGGATAAGATGAATTTAGAGATCCGATGTTTGTTCTGTATAGAGTATCTGCAACAATATTTGAATTTCCTCTGATGTATTTGATATCTGAAGTAAATTGTGCAATATAACTTAGATATCGGGTTTGTCGAGGAGTTTTGTCTGTGGACGAAAAAATTGATGCGACAATGGGTTTTTGATCTGTATATACTGTAAATTTATTTCCATGTAACGAATGTTTGAAAAATTTGATAGCAGAGTAGATCGCTAAATGTTCTCTATCAAAAGTGGAATATTTGGTTTGGCATGAATTAAATTTTTTGGAAAAGAACGCTATTGGTTGAGACCTTCCATTGACGGTTTGCGTTAAAACAGCTCCCTTACCTGTGTTAGATGCATCAGTTGACAATGATAGGATAACATGCGAAGAGGGATGTCCTAGAAAGATAGATTTTGATAGAAGATTTTTGGCTGAAGAAAAAGCGTTGTCGTGTTGCAGAGTCCAAGAAGTTGATGAAATTGTTTTTTGTTTTTGATAGTGAAGTAATTTTGAAAGTGTGTATAAGGGATCAAGAATATTTGAAATGTTAGGTAAGAATCTATGGTAGAAGTTTAACATTCCCAAAAATCTTTGTAACTCTTTTAAAGTCGTTGGCTTTGGAAAATGTGTTATGGCTGTGATTCTTGATTGCGATGGTCGAATGCCATCGGATGAAACATGATGATTAAGAAAATCCAATGATTTAACACCGAAAATGCATTTTTTCGATTGGATATTGATATTGTAGGAAGTTAATCTGTGAAATAATTGTTTTAAATGAAGTATGTGTTCTTCTTCATTTCGACTTGCTACAAGAGTATCGTCTATATATACAAAAATGAAGGTTAGTCCTGAAAGTACTTCATTGATGAACCTTTGAAATGTTTGCGCTGCATTTCGAAGGCCAAAAGGCATGCGAACGAATTCGAAAAGACCGAAAGGGGTTGTTATAGCTGTCTTTGGTATGTCCTCTTCATCTACGGGTATCTGATGATACGCTCTGACCAAGTCGATTTTAGAAAAGATTTTGCATCCGTGCAAATGAATGTTGAAATCATGTACATGAGGTAGCGGATAGCGATCTGGCACAGTAACGTTGTTGAATTGGCGGTAATCTCCACATGGTCTCCAGTCATCAGAATCTTTTTTAGGTACCATGTGAAGAGGCGATGCCGTAGATGAAGAAGATGGTCGACAGATGCCCATAGCGACCATTTGTTCGAATTCTTTTTTAGCGATTGATAGCTTACGCACATCCAAACTTAGTAATAATTTTGTGTTTAGTGTTGTGTGTAACGGGAGATGAGAACTCAGGCCACAATATAAATAAATAAGTTTGGTTAAATTAATATTTTAATAAATAATATATGCACCGTACACGTGTGTTTTTTAATAATTTGAATGAATGATAAATAACAAAAAATGATTTTGTTTTGCAACACGATCTTGATTTTCTACATGTCGTGTGCACAGCATACTACAGTTATCATTATGCTTAAGTTTATCGATTTCGAACATTTCAAGGCATTTTTAAACAAATTGACTATAAACCAATACACTCCCTGAAAAACTCATTACAAATCATCAAAAACTTAAAACATATTTCACCTAATAATAATACACTGGTATCCTTCGATGTGGTCAATCTATACACAAATGTTGAATCAACATATAATATAAAATTTAAGAAGTTAAATACCTAACAATTAAAAAAAAACAAAATTTGTCTCTGTACTTTGCTAGTCTCGAACGACTCGACTGTCATAAATAATACAGGTACTTTTTTGGGGTAATAATTACTTTTGCTCTGCTTATGCGGGTAATAAAATCATCAGCAATATCGAAAAGTATAAAGAACTTCGTTCCCACATCACCACCTTGCTTTTATTTTATATTTTCAGTTGTTTTATTTGAGATACTACCTGTTTCAGAATGTCTGAGAGACAAAAGAAATTATCGGGTCACCAATACAAACAACGAAGGCTGGAAAAAGAGGTCCAAATACAAAAACAAGCTGGCGCGTTAAAAAATTATTTACAGAGAACATCTAGAACTCCCGAAACAAATGACAACTCAGAGTGTCCAACATTAAATCCGGAAGTAGCAGAAAACACGGAATCACGAAAGACTAATGATGACCAACAAATGGACGATATTTCTACAGCAACTGGATCTGGTACCACTCTGCTACCAAATGAAACTACAAAAATCGACACCAACCTGTCGCATACAGAAAGCGCTGTACAACCGTTAAGTACAGATCCAGCGTTGTGGCCAAGAATTTTAGGAGATGTCGATAGAACATTTTTGGTTAGGCAAGCACCACCTAGGCTATTATACAATCACAACTTTCCTCCTGATGACACTGGTCGAAAATTTAGTGCAACTTATTACAGACGCATATTAACCAATGGAGAGCATGTTGTAAGAGACTGGCTAGTATACTCTATTTCAAAAAACTGTATTTATTGCTTTTGCTGTAAAATTTTCGGCTGTGTGATCAGTTCTCTTTCAAAAGACGGCTTTAAAAGTTAGAAGCATATCGTTGAAACGTTAAAAGAACACGAAGTTTCAAAAAATCATATTGAAGCTCACAAATCATGGCTGGAACTGAGTCAAAGACTAAAGTGTTGGAAACTTATAGATGCAACTGCTCCAAGAATTATTAATGCTGATACAAACCATTGGTATGAAGTGCTTCTAAGAATCGAAAGAATCATTAAAATGCTTGGTAAAAGTTGTCTGGCTTTTCAAGGTACAAGCGATAAACTATTTGAGCATAATAATGGTAACTTCCTAAAAGTAGTTGAACTACTGTCTGAATTTGATCTCATTATGGAAGAAGATGTGCGAAGGGTGGTGAAAAAAGAGGAGACGAAAG